AAAAAAAAAAAAAAAAAAAAGAGTTACAGAGCCAGGAAGCCTGGAAAGCTTGGTCCTATGACCTCAGTTTTGTAATCTGTAAAATGAGCATAAAGATGGTACCAACCTGTATTAGTTTCCTGTGACTGCTGTAACAAATTACCACAAACTGGGTGGCATGAAACAACAGAAACTTAGTCTGTCACGGTTCTGAAGGTCAGAAATCTGACGTCAAGGTGTCAGCAGGGCTACTCTCCCTTCAGAGAGTCCAGGAGAGAATCTGTTCCTTTCCTCTTTTAGCTTCTGGTGGCTCCTGGTATTCCTTGTCCTTCTCTAGCTGTACCTGCATCACTTCAATCTCTGCCCTTGTCTTCACACCCCCATCTCCTCTCTGGGATTCAAGTCTCTCCCTCTCTCTTACAAGGACACTTGTGATGACTTTTAGGAAACATCTGAATAATCCAGGATCATCTCTTTATTTCAAGAGGCTTCACTTAATCACATCTGCGTAGACTTTACCATATGAGGTCATAGTAACAGCCTCTGGGGATTAGGATGTGGTCAGATCTTTGGGGCCACTATCAGTCTACCACACTACGTCATATGTTTCTGTAACGATTAGATCAGTAAAAACACATAAAGTTCTTAAATGATGCCTATTTTATGGTACTGTTTACACTCTTTTAAAGAAAGAAAATGATAGGGAATCATTGGGAGATAGGAAAGAACTATGACTAATACCCTGTTCCAGATAACTCTGGTTACTTGCTGAGAAGGTTAGCCATTCTTTCCAATGCTTGCCCCTGAGTTTCTGTGGACACACAGATCCAGCTTCCAACCCAGCAAATGAGCCTAAAATGAACCTGTGACCAGGTCCCCTCTGGCTGACAGCATATGTTCAGAGATAAGCAGGGGCCTCGTCTGGACCTGTATTAATATGTATAGCATTTCATTCACATGGAAAATTGATTTTTCTTTTTAAGCACAAAATGTACCAGTTTTATAACCTTTCTGCAGTTTGACAAAGGCCATTTATAACCTACTTTCTCTGTCACCCTTCCTGGCGCCAGTCTCAAATGTCTCCAAGAACTCTCTTGTGCATTTGTAATTACAAGGTCTTCTTAGGCAAAATTTAATTTCCAAGAGGGCTGACCTTTTTTTGTTTTTGTTATTTTTAAATTAATTTGCATGTATGTGTTTTGTTATTGATGTTGTTTAGGGCCACAAGGGGGGCTGGGGAGTTGGTTCAGGTGGAGGTGCTGGGGGGAGCGCAGTGCGAGGGCATTTTAATCAGCAATGTCCAGTGATGGATGAGGAGGGCTGGGCTCTGGGTGTTAATCTTTGTGGACAGGAAATGCCAGCATGGTGACTGAAATTAAAATCTAGTGCCCTCATTTTCTCTTCCAAAGGCAGGAGAGTTAGAACCGCTTCTCCATCTATTGCCCTGGAGAAGGTGAGCCCAGCCTGATCAAATAATGGAAAACTAAATGAAGTAAATAGTCACTTGTTCCCACAGTCTGGAGTTCCTGGGTTGTGCAAATGGCTAACACGTTCGCTGCTAACTGGACGAGGTTGGTGGTTTGAGTCTCCTCAGAGGTCCCTTGGAAGAAAGCCCTAGAAATCTACATCCAAGGCCTCAGCCCTTGAAAACCCCGTGGAGCACGATTTTTCTCTGACACACATGGGGTCACTGTGAGTCAGCAACTGAACGACACCTACTGAACTGGTTACCCACAGACCAGGATCTTCATTCACAGAGAACTCAGCACATGCCAGACACACTGAGAAGAACATTCTGGCTGAGGCCACCCAAGGTGCAAAGATTTGCAGGTTGGAATCAATGTACATCGATGTAGTTTGTTTAGGGACCAGAGAGTAGCCAATGTGGTTTGGGGGAAGAGTGTGCTCTGTCTGGGCAGAGAGGTTGAATAGTACAGAGGACCCTATCAGCTTAAGAAAGATGTAACATTTTTTAAAAAAATATTTGTCTTATAAGCTAGTGAATGATTTCCATTTAGAAATATCGTTCTGGTGACCAGTAAGGAGGATGGTTTGGAGGAGGCCAGGCTGGAAGCATGCGGCCTGGTTAGGAGACGTTTGCATGTTCCAATTGTGAGTATGTGGAAATCTCAATGAGGGCTCCAAGGACAAGGGTCGAGAAGAGGTCTGTTCAAGACAAGAAGGAAGGGAATTCACATTTTATGAGTGTCAAGTTATATGCCAACTTCTGAAGTAAGGTGTTCTGGATTGAATTGTATCCCCAAGAAATATGTGTTGTAAATCTTAACCCCTATAGGAGTTATAAAAAGAGCTCTGGTGGCGCAGTGCCTAAGGCATTTGACTGCTAACAAGAAGATTGGCAGTTCAAACCCACCAGCTGCTCTGTGGAAGGAAGATGGAGCAATATACTTCCATAACGATTGACCATCTCAGAAACCCAATGGGGGTGGCTTTGAGTCGGAATCCACTCAATGGCAGTGAGTTTGTTTGTTTGTTTTTGATATAGTGGTTACAATGCCATTTGGGAACTCCCTCCCAGCCATCAGAGAGAGAGAGTCTTTTAGAACCAGCACCCTGAATTCAAACTTCCAGCCTCCTAAACTGGGAGAAAATAAATTTGTTTGTTAAAAGCCACCCATCTGTGGCATTTCTGTTATAGCAGCACTAGATACTGAGACGTGAGGTGTGCACTTAACTGATCGGATTTTAGCTTCGCAGCAAACCTATCGGTGTAGGTGTCGTGCCTGCTTAATAGACGATGAAGTTGAGGTTCAGAGACGATGAGTAACTTGCCTCAGAGAAAAAGGAGAAGAGCTGGGATTTAAACTCACATTGACACTCACTGCCGTCGAGTCGGATCCAACTCATAGCAACCCCTCCTTGGGTTTCCGAGGTGGTATCACTACAGAAGTAGATTGCCCAACCTTCCTTCCAAGGAGTGGCTAGTGGGTAGGGGCTCTTTAAAATATACCAGGCTGCTTCTCTTAATGGCCTTTGTAACAGAGACCAGAGAGGACAACAGTAACAAAAATAATAATGATAATTATCCCAACAATATCAATGTTAATAAGTCAGTTCCTGTCAAGTCAATTCCAACTCATGGTTCCAGCTCCTAGTGACCCCTGTGTGTCGGAGTAGAACTGGGCTCCAGAGAGTTTTCGGTGGCTCCTTTTTCAGAAGTAGATCTCCAGGTATTTCTTCGAAGGCACCTCTGAGTGGACTCATACCTGCAACCTGTCAGTTAGCACCTTAATGGTTAGTCATTTGCACCACTGAGGGCCTCTCATCAATATTAATGACAAGCTACCATTTGCTATGTGATTGCCATGTGAGCCATGGTGTTCTGAGCACTTTGCCTATGTTACCTCTTCCTTCTCACAACTCTATGAGGCAGATACTCACAGAAGTCTCATTCTACAGATGAGAACACTGAAGTTCAGAGAGGTAATGATGCTGTCCAAGGCCACACAGCTATTAAATAGTCAAGCAGGACTTCATTTATTTATTTATTTTATTGTGCTTTGAGTGCAAATTTACAGAGCAGATTAGTTTTACGTTCAACAGTTCATGTATATTTGATTTTATGGTCCCGATGACCATCCCCAACCTTGAAAAACCCTCCTCCCCTCTCCTCCCTGTGACTACCCCCTCCCTGTGCCCTTCTTATCTACACATCCCTGTCTGTCCAGCTTTCCCTCTATGTGAATGCTGCCCCTCTGATGTCTCATGGCTGATTGCTCTAAAGGGTACATCTCCCAAGAGTAGGTGAGTGCATTGCCCTGGGGTAGGTGTTCTCCATGTAGGTCTTTCTATGTTGAGCTAAGAGCCAGTCCATAGAAGTGAGTCCATTTTTAGGCCCAGAGGGTAACCCGAGGCCATTGTCTCAGGGGTTCCACCAGACTCTATATGACCAGTAATTCTGGTCATTTTTGTGTTTCTGAATTTTTTTCCAAATTTTTCCTCCCACTCTATTCAGGATCTCCAGTTTTGATCCCTTTCCAAGTAGTTGACATTGGTAGCCAGGCACCATCTAGTTCTGGCCTCAGGGTCATGAAGGCTGAGGTCCTCATGGTCCATCTTATCTTTGGACTAGTTGTTTCCTGATGACTTTGATTTTCTTCACTCTTCTTTGCACCAGACAAGAAGAGACCAGTAATTAGTTGCATCTTAGATGGCAGCTTGAAAGCTTGTGAGACCCCAGTCACTACTCACCAAAGTAGGATGTAGAACAAGATTTTTATGTTCTATGTTGTGCCAGTTGAGCATGATACCACCTGAGACTATGGTCCTGAGCCCGCAGGCCCAGTGGTTCTCTCTCCCAAGGTGTCTGGTTGTCTCTGAGAAGCTACTCCAACTCTGTCTTCAGTTGCTCCTGTAATGTATGTGGCTACTTTTGCAGCACAAGTGCATATGTAAGATTAATTATCTTCAACCAAGTCTATCCTTGGTCTAGGGTATATTCCTGTTCACCTACTTCCACCTGATCTTCTCCCCTGTCTATGCATTTACCTGGTGTTTGGTGCTATCAGTAATGCAGTATCATGCATGTAATGGTATTTACCTGTGTTATCTATATCTTCTGTGTCTTTCCTTTCCCCGATGTCACCATGCTGGTCACAGACTCTTATACCATACCACCCCTCCCCTCACCAACATCAACATGGGACCCTAAACTAGTGCCAAGCAGGACTTTGAACCTGTCTCTGTCTCTTTTCAGAAGATGAGAGGACAGGGTGTGATGGGGCCGCCACCTGCTCAACCATAACCTCACTGTTGCCCTCTCTCTGAGCAGTGTCCCGAAGAGCTGAGGCCCATGAAGGACGGCTCGGGCTGCTATGACCACTCCAAAGGCATCGACTGCTCCGACGGCTTTAACGGTGGTTGTGAGCAGCTGTGCCTGCAGCAGACACTGCCTTTGCCCTACGATGCCACCTCCAGCACCATCTTCATGTTCTGCGGGTGAGTCTCTGTCCCCAAGGCCTGTACTCCCTTCTCAGCAGAGGGGAAGGAAATGCATGGTCAAATGGTCTGGGTTTGATCTTCTAAGACATGACCTTTGTCTTGTCCATTTTCAGCTCAAAAGGCAAGAGTATAACCTTGTCTGCAGTTGGGATTGTTTTCTGCAGACAGCCTGCCCCTGTTCTCTCTCTCCTGCAGCCCTAGGCAGGGTAGGTTGGAGACAAAATCAAGCATGTGGAAGGTGTCAGACTTAAAAAAACATTAGTTATGGTGCTTAAGAACACAAGCTTAGTGCCAGTCTTGACCTCTGTCGTAGTAAGAATGTAGCAGTGGGAGTCCAGAGTCTAACCTATCTGTGCCTTCATGCCCATATCTGTAAGGATAATTAATTGGAGGAGAAGGGGGGAGATGTGCAGGAAACCATATGGTTAAGCTCATAAAACAATACAGGTTATGTTCATGATGAAATTTCAAATTGTGCTTTTAAAGTTAGTGTGAGACTAAAGAGGGTGCACTTTGGGAGGGACTTGCTAAGTGTCCTTAAATAAGTCACTTTCTTTCTTTTGGCCACCTGTGAAATGAGGTCTTTGGACAATGATGACTAATGAGTCTTCCAACATACCTTGTATATTGGTTACCTAGTACCGCTCTGAGAAGAATATACCACAAATGAGATGCTTGAACAAACAGGAGTTTACTCTCTTACAGTTTGGAGGCTTTAAGTTCGAGTTCAGAGTGCCAGGCTCTAGGGGCTGCGTGAAAGCCCCTCAACTTTGAGCTTCACCTCTGCCTCCTGCTCCCAGCCCACTGGAGCTAGAGGCATTTCTTCACTCAGACAGCTGCTGGCTGCTGAGGCTGCCAAGCCCAAGGTTGACAAATAAAAAGGCACAGTCCCAATGTTACCAAACCACACAGCAGAGGCCATTAATTCAAGTCTGTTGAAAGTCCTGAGGTCGGCAGAGCATGGCAGTCTGCTGAACAACATGGCTACATGCAGGGTTCAAGGTGCTATAAGCTAGAGACCATTCCCAAAGCTGTTACTTATATACGGGAAGCAGACTACATCCCTAAAGTAGCTACTCAGTTGCTTGTGGTAGATCCCACCATGGAATTGATTGCCAGTCTCATCATGGGGAATAACTACCACCAGCTGCCCAGCCACTCAACCAGGCCCAACCAAGTTGACATACAACTTCAACTACCACACCTTGTTTTCAAAATTGAGAATTGGGAGACACAGCTGCATTTAGCATAGTGATTGATCTGAGCAGTCACTGGAAAAAAAAAGGAAGTGCTCTTTCTTCTCCTCTTCACTCTGGTTCTGACTGTGTCTTCCCACATGAAATTGCTCCCATCTTTCACATTCTACCACTCAGAAAAATAATCCTGCAGAGTCATGAGAGGGCATCAGCTGTGAAAGACTCAGGTATGCTCTGTGTACTCGGTATGAAGACCGAAAAGCAGAAGAAGACATGTAACCACCTTTTCAGTATTACCACAACAATAATAATAATAATGGGGGAGAGGGAGGGAGTTCGTTCACAGGCTTCATCTCAAGTTTACCAGAAAATTAATTGAAGTGAACCGTTCTAGTCTATGTACTCCCATTTTCCTCCCAAGGCTTGTTTCCAGAGTTCCCTCCCTGCCTCAGTTATAGTTGGGGCTGCAGGGGTATTTGAGCAGGTGGTGGAGCAGCCTACCGGCGGCCCTAGATATGTACGAGTAAAATAAATAAATAAATTAGTGTATGCAGACTTGAATTTATGGCGTCTCTCCTCAGCTTAAGTGACTGCAGGGCAGTGCAGAGTAAATTATGCATGGCCTGAGATCTGCAGGCTTGCATACAGAATCAGCTGTGTTCTCGTCATTGTTATTTTCCTCCCTGTGCACGAGGGGAAGGGGAGTGTCTTTCTGTGGCAAATAATAGCAGTAGCAGCAATAATGGATTTTGACATAGAAAACTATCAGTAGGTTCCATCAGCAGTGCATTACAGCAGTGAAGGGATCTTTGGATTCATAGACTTGGGTTCTAATCCTGGCTCTGCTCCTAACTCTGTTAGGCATTGATTGGCTAATCAAGGCTCTTAGCCCTCTGAGCTTCAGTTTCCTTGTCTGTAAAATTTTATTGATGGCTACCTCAGGTCTTCCTTCCCCAGAGTGGCTGATGGGTTTGAACCTTCAACCTTCTGGTTAGCAGTCAAATGAGGCACTGCACCATCAGAGCCCCTTACCTCATATAATGGGTGGCTCAAATGATTAAAGCGCTTAGCTGCTAACTGAAAGGTTGGAATTTTGAATCTACTCAGAGGTGCCATGGAAGAAATGCCTGGTGATTTACTGAAAATTCAGCCATTTAACATGTTGCTCTCAAGCACATGGAGTTGCCTGGACTTGATGGCAACTGTTTACTAGTAGTTTTGAAGAGCACAAAGTTCTTCATGCTTATTACCCAATTCAGCATAAGTAACTTGTCCAAGGCATACAGCTGGTGGTGTAGCTCACTACCTCCTTGCTGTATGACCTTGAATAAGGGCCTTAACATCTCTGTGCCTCAGCTATCAAATAGCTGTAAGAATAGTATCTACCTACAGACTTGTTATAGAAACCTTAGTGTCACAGTGGTTAAGTGCTTGGCTGCTAACCAAAAGATCAGCGTTTCTAACCCACTAGCCAGAAAGATGTGGCAATCTGCTTTCGTAAAGATTACAGCCTTGACTCAAAACTGTAAAAGAGGACCAGACTTACTGTTATGGTAGAGGCTGGTGGAACCCATTAGACTGTGACCCTTAGACACGCTTCAAGCCTGGAACTGAACCCACCCTCACCCCTGGGAATCAACTTTCATCCAAACAACAGACAGGCCTACAAATGAACAATAACACCAGACAGGAATACACTGCTCAGAACGATCAACCCTAGGAGACCACAAGGGCAGCATTTGTCCAAAAACAATCTCAGAAGGTAGGAAGGGACAAATGGGAATACCAGACACAGGGAGGAAGTGGGGAAAATGCTGTTACATTATGGGGATTACAATCAGTGTCACCACACAAAATGGGTATACATTGTTGAGTGGAATGCTATGTAAACTTCCACCCAAACCACGATAAAAAGTTAAAACAACATTACAGCCTTGGAAATCCTACAGGGCAGTTCCACACTGCCTCTATGAGTCAGAATTGACACTACGACGATGGATTTGGCTTGGTTTTTGACAAACTTGTTATGAGAACTGGTTGCATTAGTATTTATTGAGTGCTTTAGAACAGTACCCAGCACAGAGTTGGCGCTTTGTAAATTTGTGAAATCAAATAACTAAAGGGACCTCAAGTGGAAAGCCTCTTGGTTTTCCGGTCTGTGAGACAGGCCGATCTAACCTTCACCAGGAAAGATCTCTGGAAACCTTAAATAAGATTAAATGAGTGAGAGTGAGTAGAGGAGGCTGTGAGCTGCTGAAGCTCATCCACATGCTGATAAACAGGAGACAGAAATGAGACCGAGGTCTCCTAAAACTAACTGCAGTTTCAACACGCTTTGAAATTAAAGATGCAAATGAGAAGTTACCAACACTTGTTGGAAACACCATAAACAAAACAATGAAAGCCATTAGCAGGTACTTGTGTTAGCCAAGAGAACTGGGAGGCTGTTGAATTTAGCAGGAAAAACAAACTACCTCGAGGGGGTCTTCCCAATTTCTGCAAAGCCCTGTGACCTTTCTAAATTTCCTGGGTAGGAGCAAGTTTAATGAACCCATTTGTAATCAGGTTAATAATAGCAGCTAACATTTATTTGGCCCTCTCGTTGACGTGCCAGGAAGGAGCCCTGGTGGCACAGTGGTTAAGCACTCAGCTGCAAGCTGAAATGTCAGCGATTCAAACCCACCAGCCGCTGCTGCTCGGGAGAAAGATGTGGCAGTCTGTTTCCGTAAAGATTTACAGGCTTGGAAACCCTGCAGGGCAGTTCTACTCTGTCCAATAGGTTCACTGTTGTTATTGTTATGTGCCGAGTCAGACCCAACTCATAGCGACCCCTCCTTGGGTTTCCGAGGCAGTATCACTACGGAAGTAGATTGCCCCATCTGCCTTCCGAGGAGTGGCTGGTGGGTTTGAACCGCCAGCCTTCTGGTTAGCAGTCAAGTATCTTAGGTACTACACTACCAGAGCTCCTAATAGGGTCACTATGAGTCGGAATCAGCTCAATGGTATCATAGAACAACATCTCAGGGTCTGCTTAAGTAAAAGCAAAAGAGGTTTGTTGAGCAATAAAGATAATCTGGACCAGGAAGGAGTCCTTCACTGAGTGAAGATGGCCACTCAACCAGAAAAGGAGAAAAAAAAATTTTTTGTACAGTTAGAGCAGGAACTTCGGAAGGAAGTTTGGGCAATCTACTTCCGTAGTGATACTGCCTCAGCAACCCAAGGAGGGGTCGCTATGAGTCGGGGCCGACTCGACGGCACACAACAACAACAGAGCAGGAACTAAAAAGTTACGAAATCATAATTGGCTAAAAGACAATCAAGGGGAGACAAAGACAGGATATATAAAAGTGGGGATTTGGCAAGGATAAGTGGATACCACATAAGTGGGATTCCATGACTGGTTAAGGTTATATGCCCTTCAATTTATGTACAGGATGGTCACAGGACAGTGGCAGGACAGGTTTTTTTTTCTGGTAACCTGTTTAGTAAAATTGCTTCTTCAATCATGTCTGTTTCTGGGCATCCCTTGTAAAGATTTATCAATAATGCAGTGTGTCAAGGCTCCTTGGGTGTAAGCTATCACAACTTGCATCTATTTGACCATAGAGGAGAGGCTCTTGGAGAATAGATTGTCTATGCTGCACTTATCCTGCACAGACGAGTGTCTTCTTTCGGGTAAATGGTCAGCATCAAGATTAGAGGATCTTCTGTTGGAAAAGGCAGCTTTAAAATTCAACATGGATTCTAGAGGCATGTCAAGACTTTAAAATGGAGTTAAGGCTCCACTTTCAGACTGCACTA